CATGAATAAGAGTCTCGATATGACTTCAAACTTTTAATAGATTTTTTCTAAATTGACTCGTGTGAGAAATTTTGTTATCAAATTAACATAAATAAGTTGTTATATGCAATAAATATAGTACATATGTTTCACAAAAGTTACAATTGCAAAAAAGAACTTAATTTACAACTTTCACAGTCTCCTAAATCAAGATTAATGTATCTCATAGAAATAGCCAGTAAACAATTTTCAAAAATATCATTAAGTATCCGATTCCTCTGTGCACAACCGTAGCGCAGTGATCCTCACAAATAAGGGATCCAGTGTAAGTCCGGGTCATTACCGCTCGGATCAAAACGTCCCGAGCGTTCGCCCGCCTGTGTTTACTGCACGCGGGCGATGGAGGGTTACTCGAACCCGACGTACTAATTGAAATAGCACACATTTTTACGGAAAATATATGTTTTAGGTATTTTTGGAATATGAATAGGCAGATTTTTTTTCATGAACGCTATGTCAAAGTAATTTTTTTTAAATAAAATATGTTAGTATTAGGTTTAAAGTTCTGGTTTGACCGTTGTAGTTAGCAACATCATCGAGTTTTTGTAACTCTTATATCTACTTTAAATACCACATTTAATAGCCCTCTAACTGGTATGGCAAGATTATATAATGAAAGGGCTATTGTGACAGATTATCCCATCGACATTTTCTCCATGAACTTCGCAACATACAGACGCTCCATACTTAAATAGTGTGAACAGTGCCTATTGTTATTGCTAATAACAAGTATTTTTGTAGAGTTTCAAAGATTATTAAAAAATGCTTAATTTTGACTAAAATAATTGTATTTGCGAACAAACATTCCTTTTATACTATCACACTATTTATACCAAAAGCGTATAAGCGGGGCCCTTTTGACAGACAGACAGACAAAAATGTACAATCACCGACAATCAGCTTATAACGTCGACAACATAAGTTCACACCAATCTTCGTGACTGTACATTTTATTTGCACTTAACATCACCCTTATTATAAGCGAAATAAAGTTTAAAATCCTTTAACTTGGTTGTCAATAAAAATTGTTACCAACTTACAAGTGACAATTTTATATTTGCACTTGACATGACCCTTAAAGCTAAACGCATACGGGCGAAATTCCTGGAGCCTAATGCTCAATAAAAATGTTGTAATAACACCAACTTTTCATGTGCACTTAATATAACCCTTGTAACAAAGAGATAAAAGATAAAATCCTCTAACAAAACGTAAAAATAAAATTGTCAGCAAATAACATCTGGAATGCGATGTAATGCTTTGCCAATACTATTGAGAGTACTTACACTTAACATAAAACTCGACAGTACAAAGCAAACCTTATAGCTTACGAAATAAGGTTGAAAATATTTGAAAATAGTTCGAAATTTTCCCCTCAAATATGATTCAAGTGAAATTGGAATCTTCTGCTCACGCATTAAGGTTGTGTTTCCTTTGTATATGGATTCTTCTGAGAGGGTTTAGGTCTGAGAGTGACACGGAGGGCTTTTAATATATTGTTGATGAGGGATGACACAAATGGCTGGGGAATGTACTTAATGTTAGCTACTGTCCTGCCTACCCCGCGTGGGAATTGTGGGATTAAGGATACACAGAGATTGTTGAAGAATTAAGCTCTAAATGTAGAGCAGTGGTTGCAAATTGAAAAAAAATATTTCGTTCAGACACCCGCAACACCGAAGAAAGTACAAATACGTTGCCGTCCTTTTGTGGGTTATTTATTTACTAGCTTCTGTCTGCGACTTCGTCCGCGTCACATATTGACTTCTGCAGATTTTTGGTTTAAAAATTATCCTATGTCCTTTCTCGAGTTCCAAACTATGTGTTGTACCAAATTTCACACAGATCGGTTCAGTAGTTTAGGCGTAAAGAAAGACAGACAGACAGACAGAGTTACTTTCGCATTTATATTATTAGTTTGGATTTGAACCACCAGTATCTACTTCACTTATTATTATGCATATTTAAATAGGTAGGTAATATATGCCTAATAACTTTTTTTTCTTAAAAGTTACAAGCACACTAGCTTTTCCCCGCGACTTCGTTCACGTGCAATAGTAACTTCTTGCAAATTTTTGATTTTACCCACATAGTTCCCGGTCTCGCGGGATTTTTTGTAATATCCCGCTCCCGCATGATTTTCGGGATAAAAACTGTCCTATGTCCTTTCTCGAGTTCCAAACTACGTCTGTACCAAATATCACAGAAATCGGTTCAGTAGTTTAGGCGTGAAGAAAAGACAGACAGGCAGACAGACAAACAGACAGACAGACAGTTACTTTCGCATCTATAAAAGAATATTAAAAGATTGGATTCTCTTTTTTTTCATCCAATGATAATCAATTCAGTAATTTTATAGATTTGTGTCATTTTTTTTTACTTATAATATAATATTTGTTTTGAACGTATGCAACAGACAGACGGACAAATATTAACAAGTGATGCGTATACTGAGAGTCACTGAGGGCCGATAAGAGTGACTGTTACGTAGTATTTGAGAGGGATTACAGGATAAAGAACTATTTGCTTAGTTAAAAGCATTTTTCGCATTCTTTAGTTCAGTACTTGAGTTAGATATTTTTTGAGGTTCTTGTTATTTTTAAGTGTGGGAGAGCCATGCTTCGGCACGAATGGGTCAGCTGGACCGGAGTGATACCACGGCCTCACAGAAAACCGGCGTGAAACAACCACAGCGTTATGTTTCGCGGTGGGAGTGAGGTTACCGGAGGCCCAATCCTTCCCCTCCCCCAATCCCTCCTCAATCCCAAAATTTCCAAATCCCTAATCCCTACAAGGTCGGCAACGCACTCGTAACACCTTTGGTGTTGCGGGTGTCCATGGGCGGCGCTGATTGCTTACCATCAGGTAATCCGTCTGCTCGTTTGCCGACCTACAACATAAAAAAAAATCCTTCTCTGCCTTGATAAAGTCCTAGAAATCTATACTAATATTATAAAGCTAAAGAGTTTTTATGCATATTTGAACGCGCTAATCTCAGGAACTCTTGGTTCAAATTTAACAATTATTTTTGTGTTTGTTAGTCTATTTATTTATCGAGTAACGCTATAGTGTATAAAAGATCACGCTATGATCTGTAGGACCCGAGCAGCGGGTGAAACCGCGTGAAAGTAGCTAGTAAATAAATAAATAGCATTCTACTGACATAGCATTCAAAAAGCAAACGAAAAATATGTTTTTGGATTTTTTAATAACCTTCTTTTTGATTAGTGATTGCTCTGTGTCTTTATGTCCGATACTTTCAATTGATTATACGCAAAATCAAAATAACTATCGAGCATTCGCTTGCCAACTATGTAGTGAAAAAAATTGAATTTTTTTGTGCTCAAGTTCACAAAACAATTTTTTTTTTGGCATTTCAACTCGTATCAAGACTATCAATTGAGATGATCCTGCGAACCACTTTCTCACCCATCTGTGCTTACCCTCGCATGCCACGAAGGGCTCTCTGATTAAAAAGTCACTGCTTTTAATATCCAGCCCCCTATGTCCAGGAATTTTCCTGGGAGTAGGGTGACTATGATTCTGATAGTTTGTTGAATATTTCCAATTGGAATAATTGTAGGTATTTTGATAAATTTATAGAATAAACGTTATAGTCACGACGTCTACAGTATGTAAAAAAGGAACAACATAATAATATTAACTTTTCTAACATTTGTTTTTCTGAAAACATCGGGTATCAAACTTGGATATGCGTAGTAATATACTTCTTGCGAGCACTGCACCATTAACCATTTCAAATCAGAATCACATAATTGGTTGAACGCTGAAGAGAAGACATTATTGTTTGTCAGAATTGAATAAGTTTTTTTATAAGTAGCTAATATTAAAATATTAATCTCTCAAGTGTCGGAGTCGGAAGTGGTAAATAATTTTTTTTTCTTATATGATGGTCACCCTACGCTTCACCATATTGCATACTAAGCACAGATGTCTACAACTTAACCAATTACATTCAAATCTCAACCTTAAACCAGCAAGATAAACAACAAAATCCTATAAACACCACACATGGGCAATTCTACAAACAATACCTTTAGCATTTTGATTTTCAATATTATGAGCTGACAAACTTATATTTACGGTTCCCAAAATACATATTCATTGGATTTGGTGCTCTAGTACCTAGATTTTAAGGTCGATGGTGGTATGTTTTAGGTGTATATGTACGTTGTTTTATACAGGATGTATTGTTTGTTGATCAGTCAGAGTTTTTGTCTCGTTTTGAATGATTACTTGCCCTTTGACAGGACTTGGAAAATGGGGAACATTAAGGTCTTTGTTTTGAGAACTGTATACTGTCTCTGGAAACAAAAAAAAAATGCACTGAATCGACACAATCCACTAGCAGGAATTTCCTGAAACAAATGTTGTAATTTTTATTATAACTTTCGTGAGACATTCTAAATTAATTATATGTTTTCGGCTTACTCACGTAATAATTTGACGAGATACTCGGCTTGTTTCAAGCCATGCTAGAGGCCCATATTCATGAGCAGCATTCCGCGCGCGCCGACTCGAGTAGCCAGTAGCAGCGCGACAGCCGCGACCCAAATAATAAGGTAGTTTCCAACTAGTCAAATTCAGTGCTTTCTAGAAACTCCAAATTATGACGTCACAGCATTTTTGCGTCAAATAGCTTAGAAGCTTGGAGAAGGTTTGAGCATTCACCACGCTTGCTCAAGACGATTTCAAAATTATAAATTAGAAACTATATGTCCAAGTTTCCTCACGATGTTTACCTTCACCGTATGTCAGTGCTGTTTAAATAATCATATAAAGTACATATAACTCGGGCAAAGTCACATTGGTACTTGCTAGGTTTCCTGGCTCATGCATGACAAGCGGGCTCCTTAACCTTGATATCAATAAACTCTTCACCAATATTGAATGACTGGCCGAAATAAACTGTGACTTCTAACTCTTGGTATCCTCCACAGCGATCCTCCCTTACCGCGAGGATGCTCAGCCGCAGACGCGAGAGTTCTTGGCCAGGGTCGTCGATGTACTCCTCGACTTCATCCATCAGGTCAACGATAGGAACGAGAAGGTATGTCTGTTGGAATCACTCATTTAAAGTTTAAACAAAATGGAATCAGGGGCAAACGAGGAGATGAATTACCTGCTGGTAAGCAATTAGCGCCGCCCATGAGCACTCGCAATATCAGAGAAGTTACAAGTGCGTTGCCAGCCTTTTAAGGAATCCTTTTTGGATAGATTGGAGATTTAGGGATTGGGGAGGGGTAAGATGGGCCTCCAGTAACCTCACGCACGCTGTGGTTGTTTCACGCCAGTTTTCTTAAAGGACGTTGCAAAACTACTTACAAGCGAGCACATTCGTGCCGAAGCATAGCATTCGCATTCACACTTGACTTTTACTTAGCAGAAATTAGTTTCAAAATTAAGAATTAAGAAGAGCTTTCTTCAGTTCATTCACGTGTTTAAATCGTTATTTTCAATAAAATTAGTAGGTTTATCACATGATAAAATTAGTATGGGACATACAAGTGTGGGAGAGCCATTCTACGAATGGGTCGACTCGACCGGAGTGATACCACGGCCTCACAGAAAACCGGCGTGAAACAACCACAGCGTTGTGTTTCGCCGAATTGGTGAGGTTACCGGAGGCTTAATCCTTCTTCTATCCTTATCCCTAAATCTCCAAACCCCTAATCCCCAAAAGGTCGGCAACGCACTCGTAAGTAACTCCTACTTTGCGGGTGTCCATGGGCGGCGCTGATTGCTTACCATCAGGTAATTCGTCTGTTCGTCGCCAACCGCACACATAAAAAATTATTCAAACATAATCCATCATATTATGATTAAGACTGCAAAATCTGTACACTATTTTTGTTATAAACGCTATGTTTTTTTTCTATGCAGATCTTGGAATTCCGCATGCCGGAGGAGATGAGCAAGATGTGCGATTTCCAGCTGCACGAGGAGCCGCTGCCGCTGAAGCAGCTGCTGGAAGACTGCAAGCTCGCGCTCAAGTGGCAGGTCAAAACTGGTGAGTCTTCCCTTATCCTAGATTAATAAAGAAAGAGAGAAAGAAAAACATTTATTCATGCGCAAGCACACTCACAGAATAAAATTACAAAAAAGAAAAAAATAACTATACTTACTAATAATCTAAATTAAATGATACAAATAAATGTTATGACTAAAATAAATGAATAACAAAAAACATTATGCGCGAGGTGGCATGTATTTTTTCATTGTCTGAGGACCATAAGGACAAGGAAGTAACATTTGTATTTGTTACAAACTATAACAAAATACATTTATCTATTAATTACATTAAGTTGAGGATTTCCTCCTTACTACCGTTATAACGATATAATGTGGTACGAGCGCAAAAAAAGGACATGCTCAGCATTTGCTGAGACCCCAACCACAAGGGATTGGTGCCACAGCGCTGATTTTAAGTATATATCCTTGGTTGACGAACATTTTGAAGCGAAAATTAGATTCGAAGATGCAGTTGCAAAATATGGTCCAGCAACGACTTGTGTCTTTGGCGTTCTTAAGTTATGAAATGTAGAAATTTCCTCTCGATTAAATCATCAAAAGACTTCTCTACATAAGGCGAGAGAGAGAGTTTCAGACTATTACTGGCTAAAAACCCCTCGTTCCTTCTCCCGCTTTAGGCCGAGGCTGCGGTGCCTCATTGCGCTTGCCCCGCAACTTCGGCTGAACAACAGCCATGTAGGGTCAATTAAATCCCTGTGTTGTAGAAAAATCGGGATGAAAACATCTCGTTTCTAAGTAAGCCCTCTAGGTCCTATTACAATAGTAAATTTTCCGTTGTGTTTGGTGACTGGGCTTCTCCCAGTTGTACAATCTCTTTTGTGCCTTTAAGGCTTAAGTCATTCTGTCTCCTGCATTAAATTTACCGAGGGAACTATTTAGTTTTTTCTTCTCCTCAAACAATATCTTCTGATTTATTTCGTTGTGGGATCCAAGATAGTCATTCACGTCCCTGGGACGTGCCTTCAGTGTTCCGGTGTTTTCATGGTGGTGTCTACTGTAGATCCTGGTGCACTGGAGTTGCAGCGGTTTTGGAAGGTTGTGGCGGGCTTATCCCATTAAGCTCTCTAGTTGATTAAATTTTTTTTTATTAGTTACAGTAGTTTTAGAGCCTGTGTGACACGAACAAGACAAAACATTCTATGCAGATTTAGGTTTGGTTTATGAGTAGACTAAAATTTTGATCTGCCCTAAATTCTACAAACAAAAATTAAAAAGTATTCAGAGATTTTGATGTAGGAATGTATTTATACACAACTTTAATAAACAGCATCGGTTAAAATATTAAACAACAGTCTTAAATTAGAAAAAGTGCTAAATAAAATCGATTTTCCTTTCTTCGAGTGCGGTTCAAAAACACTGCACAAATAACCATCAATTGGTCACAGATCTCCCTCCCGCCATTTAACTCACTGTATCGGATCGCTTGAGAATGTAATTACTGAACACTGAACAGTCACTGAGCATGTTCAGTCGCCTGCGAGTATCGCTCGACTATTATTCCAACACATTTCATCAAGTGATTGTATTGTTTGCTGAGGCATTCGGAAGAGATCGGGAAACATCGGGAACGTTCGGAAAATTTGAAGAAAAATCTATTCTTGCACTTTTCACATCGTATGGTTGTGACGATTGTGTGAGAAGAGGTCTTTGAAAAGCATCTAAGATAGTTGTAGGGAATTATACCTAATGACGAATTAAGACTTTGGTAATTGAAAGAGTGAATTACCAATTTTGCTTATTCTTTTTTTATTGTGTTCTTTATCACCAGGAGAAGGTTCATATGAAAGAAAATTTTGACTCGCTAGTCCAAACTAATGTTATAAATTCGAAAGTAAATCTGTCGGTCTGTCTGTCTGTCTGTATGTCTCTGCTTCACCGCTAAACTACTGAACCGATTTCTGTGAATTTTGTACGGACATAGTTTGGAACTCGAGAAAGGACATAGGATAGTTTTTATACCAAAAATCTGCAGGAAGTCACCTCTCCACGCTAACAAAGTCGCGGGCAAAAGCTATTTTTCTATAAAATTTTCAATGGAATCCTTGCTTGTCTGATTTATATATGTATAATACTTTTTAGCATTTTTGCAATATTCGGAACCTACTGACTTACAGTAAAGGATAACTTCTTGAGGAATCCTGGTCTTATAATTTGAAATCGTTAATCTACCCTCAGCAAGCGTCGTGCCTTATGCTCATTTCTTCTCTGTGTGAGAAGATACCCTGACTTTTTTTTGGATTCTATTTTGGAAGAAACTTGGACTTATAATTTCTAATCAGATGTTTGGAATCGACAATCTGCCTAGAGCAAGCGTGGTTCATGCTCAAACCTTCTCCATGTGAGAAGAGGCCTTTGCTCAGCATTGAACACTTATAGGATAGGATGATGATGAGGATGACTGAACTTACATAAAGCAAATACAGAAAATAACCCTTACAAACAAACCAACGAACAGTCCTTCACAATAGGAGCCAGATTAGATGCGGGTAGGGTGGCAATCATTCCGATACATTTGAGGACATAATTGAATTGTTTGATACCGCACTCTTGGGCGGAGGGGCCGCTCGGATATACTCGGGAACGCTCGGGTATCCTCGGAAATTACCGATCATAAAATTGCAGACTTAAAATTCTTTGGACGCGTTTGGAATTTAAATTAAGAACGTGTAAGTACGGTCGTTTTGTTTTCTTTTTACTTGAGATGTGGGAAAAGTTTCATCTTTTGGCGGCTTTCTTTTATTGGATTCTAAACACTAAATAAATATTACTAGCTACAAATCTGAGCGTAATGTTTTATAAACTAAAGCCTTCCATAATAAATAGTCTACTAAACACAAAAAGATTTTTTTCAAAACGAACCAGTAGCTCCTGAGATTAGCGCGTTCAAACAAACAAACTCTTCAGGTTAATAATAGTAGTATAGATTGATATAAATTTAGGAAACAAAGAGTAAAGTTCCCCTAGATCTACTAACGAGGATCCTCCGACCATGTGAGGTGATAATGCCTAGCGTGCTACCGTGCTCTCTATTTTGGAGATTTCGGGGAATGCAGCAGGACGAGCACGACGGTAACCTCACTCACACGGTGAAACACAACGCTGTGGTTGTTTCATGTCGATTTTCTGAGAGACCGTGGTATCAAACCAGTTGAGCCGCCCCTGGATCCCACACATAATATCTACCTTGATTAATTTCCTACTGGTACTGCTGATAACATTAACAGGCCACATTAAGAGTAGAAAATCTAGTCTAGCCAAAGCAATTCCAAAAATGCCAGACTCATCACAAAAATTGTGAATTTCACGCAAATCCATTTACAATAAAACACTCGCTCTCTCATCTTCATATATCAAAACCAGCCGTCAGTTGCACTCACATCTGACATCGCTGCACATCAAACACAGCGCCCTCTCGAATCACACGCTCGGTCGAGTGGTAAATAATCGGCGAGCGACGCTAGCGCCACGGTCGACGAATTGATTGTTGAACTTCAAGTGAAGAATTATGAGAAGCATTTTGTTAGAAGGGTGCGACAGACTTAGATTTTGAAGATTAGTACACATAAATGAGACTTGCTTTTGTTTTAATAAAGCTCAATATCTATTCTTAGGTAAGGATAGCAATTGACAGTCCTCTTTTCATTTTTTTTATGTGGTAGGTCAGCAAACGAGCAAACGGATTACCTGATGGTAAGCAATCAGTGTAGCCCATGGACACCCGCAACGACGGAGGAGTGACGAGCGCATTGTCGACCTTTAGGGATTAGGGATTAGGAGATTTTGGGAAAAGGAACGGATTGGGGTACGGGAAAGATTAGGCTTCCGGTAACCTTACTCACACGGCGAAACACAACGCTGTGGTTGTGCAGGTTGTGAGGTTGTGGTATCACTTCGGTCGAGCCGACCCATTCGTGCCGAAGCATGGCTCTCCCACACTTAATAAATAACTTTGTCCCGCTGTAGGATTTTCTCCTGTGACGTGTGTCCAAACATACAATTTTACATACACATCACACCCAGACCCCGCATTGCACGGAACAACTCTTTGTGCGATCCACAAACAGTTGTTCCGTGCACGAATCCACGTGCCATCCGTGCAGTCGACTTCTTTCTTTTACGTAGTTGTTTTTTGGAACACCGTCTTTTATTTACAACTTAGGTACTTTAATTAAATGACAAGATTTTTTTGGAGTAAGAAACCAAAAGAGAGTTTTCTGAGTTTGTTTCGGCATTTCTTCTCAGAGTAGTCACATAGGAAATGCCGGCTTCATCTAGTTTTTCACATACAAATTGACGTGTAAAAGTGCCGTCTTATGGCCTATTTGCAAAAATAAATACATTTTTTCAAAAAATATATAATACAAACGATTTAAATTTTTGCCTAATGACAATTAATACACATATTACTTTGGCTCAAACCAATCCAGCCACTTCACACTCAGCATACATGATCACAAAGTAACTGAAAACCTTTAAAATATTCAAAATAAATTCCCATTTCAATAGACTTATAGGCTTTAGCGGCTGTCTATAAACTATTAAGCTTAGGGAGAGGCTATAAGGCTATAAAAACAGTAAACTCGGCGAGTAAGTGGCGGGGCGCGGTAATGTCACGCAAATCATTGGATTACAGCGCTGTGGGTGTAGGGTTCACACTTAAGAGGGAATTTTAGAGACTAGACCGGTTTAAATTTTAATTTTAATAAAATTAATTTTTAATAATTTATTGTATTTAGAAATGAAATAGATTGATTTTTTTTAATGTGAATAGGTCGGCAAACGAGCAAACGGATTACCTGATGGTAAGCAATCTGCGTCGCCCATGGACACCCGCAACGACGGAGTAGTTACGAGTGCGTTGTCGACCTTTAGGGATTAGGGTTTTGGAGATTTTGGGAAAGGGAACGGAATGAGGTAGGGAAAAGATTGGGCCTCCGGTAACCTCACTCATACGGCGAAACACAACGCTGTGGTTAT